GTTCATTTCTTACTGCAGCATCTAGAATGGTGGGAAGCAGATTTAATCTTAACCTTAAGGCAACATTATCTGCAGAAGCTGTACAAGGCAGAGCCAGCTTCTTGGTGACCTGGAAGAGGCTGACAAGTGCACAGAAGAGGTAGGTACCCACACTGGGTTAAACAATTTAAAAAATCAGAATAAAAGACATTCTGTCAGCCTAAAGTAACTAGACACTTACCCATGCAAGTGTATGAATCAAAGCATTGTCCAGCCCTTGTTCAAATTCAGTAGGCCAGAAAGTCAAATCGCTTTTCAAAGGCGTCACACAGCTAAAGGACAAAGGTTTCTATGTACTTCAGGTCCAGGGCAGGCAGTGATCCATGGGTCTTTGTAGGAACAGTAAGCACAACACAAATTGCTTCAGGTTGGCAAACACAGCTAAGTATTAATGACAGCAGCTTTTGAATACTGATGTTCAAGAGACAATACAGAATATGGAATGTGGTGACACTGGAGAGCTGTCTAAAGCAAGGCATACTTCATAACACGTGAAGAAACATGCAGAGGTAAAAATCAGCTATAAAATGCGTTTAAAATTGGTCTGATTTTGGAAGAGAAAAATACAGTTACATGTTTCAATGGGGACAATATCAAGTGCTCAAACATCAGGATTCCATTTCCCAGAATCATAAGATGGTTTTTTAAAAAAACCCAAACTAAATAAAGGCTTGTGGTTGTTGTATTTTACTTCTAATGCTCTCCTCAGCTTCTGTTTTCTAATATTCTTCACAATATTCCTTCAGACCAACATTCCTATACAACTCCCTGAATCCAGAAGCTGGAACATAAAGAGCAAACAAACAGCTATTACAAACTGCCACAGACAACCATATGATTAATCATGAGTATCAGTAATGTCTTTGTTAGCACATAGTACAAAATAATAAGGTGGAACAGGCCAGATGTACAATAATCTCAGACCTTCCAAAGCCTAGAATAATAGGGAGAAGAATAGTCACTTCAAGATGAAATAGAAACTTTATCAGTATAGTCAAAGAGGAAAAAAATATCCATTTTTCAATGCCGTAAGAAATCAAGCAGAAAGTGAACTGATAACATTCACATATGGAAGTTACTTAAACTGATCTGTATGCTGGGTTATTTGTAATTGAAAAGCAAGCTAGCTCATGGGTACCCACTGAGGCAAGAGATTTAAAGAATGCTATAAAACATTAATATTATCATCAGAAAGCTTTCGAACATGGCTTAACTCTCCAAAACAAAGACATTCTCAATCTGAAATGCACTGCCTGTGGTTTTTGCCATCCCAAGTTAGATTGTTCAGGCTCTAAGATAATAATTTATTTGCATGTTATGCATTTAAGTGAACACCATTTGACACCCATTCTGTCCCCAAAGGGCTTCAAAAGAACTAAATGGACTGGTTTTTGAGGGATTACAAAGGGATGAAGTTTTCTTGGATGAAATTTTAATTTGAGCAGAGGCCTTAAAAGAGTATAATGAAATAGTGTTGTTATTTTTTTTACTGACATAGACACAAAGTCCCCTAGCATTAAATTTTTAAGAGTACATACTATTCTGGAAAAAGCTATTTGTAGGATCTGCTCAATTGCCTTCAACAGTGAATCAGGTAAAAGAAAGTGATAGTTAAATGGATACATCATTACGAAATAAGGAACCTATCCTCACTGTGAGAATGATAAAGTCATGGAAGCTTCTGCAAAGAGAAATATGGCATTTTATATGCTCTGCTCAGCATAAAGCAGATTTCTCAAAGACAGGTTAGTCAACTTAGCCTAAGGTCAACAGAGGAGATTTATACAGTTTAGACATATAGGAGAGGAGATTATGAGATCCAAATGCTTCATTCTACACATATACAGGTTTAAAGGAATATATAATACACAGGCAAAATCCAGTTCATATGAGGACATGATCATACATTCCTAATGTAGGTCAACAAGCTGATCTTGTTAAGCACTGCAGCAAAAAGATATGAACATAGCTCTCTATTAAGGTCAAAGAGCAAGGGAAGACTCTACACCTGTGTCCGCAGGAGTGTGACAAGTATTAGTTGTACCAAAGTCACCTAGACAGAGACATGACAGACGCTATTATCAGTGTGTCTGCCAAAACCAAGCACAGCTAAAGCCAGAACACAGTCAGGAAAAACACTAATGATCGTGGCCCAGGAAGAGCTGCCAGATCCTGTTAAAAGCAGCTGAAGAAATATAATGTATTAACAACAGGTACACGATTTCACAAAGTGTTAAAAAACCCATGGCCCATGTTGGTCCCTGATCTTTGGCAACAGATTTGAACTTAGGGAACGCATCACATCACGAAGCACTCATCCATTTAACTTCTTGGTGCACTAACTAGCTCCAAGAGCCTGACCACACACTGAGACAGCGAATGCAGCTAAAGGAAAGTGCCTTGCTTTCCCTCTTCAGCAGTGACCCCTGGGCGCTTGTTAAATTTTATTCTGCAGGTAATTGCTGACTAAAAATCATAGCAAGTCTGCACTCAACCTTGCTGGTAAAAGGAGGTGTTGCCTGCATTACTGTTTCTTGCTACTGAAGGTATTTAACAAGAAGGGAGTCAGGTTTTCTGAGACCTCTACATAGCCGAGAGCTTTATTAATTGGCGCAACAGATACAGAAATCGGACAGTGTTGGTTTACTTTTGAGGTAGAAAAGGGCAGATCATTTACATCAACAGGATAATACATCAGTGCTGCTCGCACCACGCTAATTTGTTAAGACATATTTTGTGTTGCTGGTAACAAAGATGTCTTTGTATCGGGTGCCTCCATGAGGCATTGGTAAGGTTACACCATTCTGACATGGAACATGTGTAAGAATGTATTAGGTGATCCTAGTAAAGTTAAATTATGCAAATTTAGTGTTTATCTAGTAGAATAAGCTATCTTGAATATACTGTGCAATATGTAACCGTTACAAAGAACATTTAAATTGTATTTTAGGGGCTAAAAGAGAGTGTTTGACTGATGAGGCATTTTTGGGAACTTTCCCCACGGTAAGATCACTGGCAGCTATCATTTATCTCACTCTGACCAAGATAAAGATAAACTGAGTATACAAGCAATAAAAAAATCTTCTGATGACTAGAATGCTCTGTAGTGCTCTCCTCAATTTCAGCAATAGGCTGAAATTGCTCATTGCTTGTTCAGCTTCTCTTTTGCAGCACTACAGTAACCTCCTTGTAATTTTGTTAGCTGTCACACAACTGGAGGCACAAATCTGGCAGGGAACTAAGAGCTGAGCAAGCTCTATCTTTCACTAGCTACTAAGAGAAAACAACAAAATGGAGAAGTGCTCTGCATTACACACCCAGTGACTGTCACTCTAAAGCTATCAAAAAATGGCTCAGATTACTGTGAAAGGAAAATCAGAAGTGAGAAGCGACATGCTAAACCAGCAGAAAATAACCATAACATTCCCCAGCCCCAAAGCCAGGAATGACCACCAAGCAGGTCCTGTCCAGAAAAATGAATGAGCACCCTCACACCAGCAGATACAGACACAGGATGCCGGGATCCATCCAGGGAGGAACATGGAAGAAAACACAGGCATTGAGGTGGCATCTGCGACAGCTGGAGATCAATTTCCAGTGAATAAATGTCTTTTAATGAACCGAGGTTTAACTGTTATCAGTCCCCGCTAGAGATCATTAGTGTGGGAAACAATGAGAGACGCTTGTATCTCTTTCTCCCTGCAGGACATGTTGGAGGCAGAGCAAAATCCTCTCCCTCCTCTCCATTGTCAGCTCGTTGCTGCCAGCACTGGCTGTAACTGAATAAACTTTATTCAGATGATAGCTACATTTAGCAGATATTAGCATCAAGCCCCCAGAGAGGTGAGAAGGGGGGAGGAAAGCTTTAAATAAACAGACTAAAGTAGTGATAATAGATGGCGTTGATGGCGGAGCAAATCACTATGCTCGAGGAGCCGGGCAGGGAGTTACACTTGGGCGTTGGGGCCCTGCCGAGAGGAAACGTGACGGGAGCGCTGCCCATGCCCTTCCCGTCGCTGCTGCGAGGGCAGGAGCC